CTATTATTTCCTAAGTTATTTTGATGTGGTAGGTTGTGTCAGGTGCAATTATGTCACGTAGGTGGATCTTTCTTTGTCAATACATGACGTGTCCAAACTTGTTCCTTTATTTGTTTATTTATTTATTTTGCTTTCATTCAGTATGTTCTATTTTGAGATGATTGGTTCTATACAGGACTCATATTTGTATCTACTGGTAGTTCATGAATCCCTGCTTGTTACTTTCCGTATGAATTGGTTCCTTTTGTAGAAGTGAAATATCTGTGCACTGAGCGTACGTAATCGAGACTTAGCATATTTTCTAAGCAAGCCGTTATAAATTTTGCCCGTTCTGCCTGCTTGAATTCTAGTATGAAGAACAGTAGCTAAAGTCTTATTTGTCTTTCAGGTAGCAATAGCGACAGCTGGTGTTGTTGTTATTGGAACAGCCATTTGGAGATATACTGTTCGACGATGAAGTTAATAACAACGAGCCTTGTACGCCGAGCTGTTCACTATCTGTGCCACTTAACCGCTGACTCCGAAGTCGGTATCTGTCCACTCTTCTCCGCTGACATTGGAATCAGACGCTTTAAACTGTAAAATTCTAGAGTTTGTAATTTGTAGTTATGCCAATTTGTTTCACTTAGCTGTATCTCTGTAAAGTCTTACACATTGAAGGGGTTTCGGGGCTGATTTCTGTTTTCGATTAGAAGATCAACGTGTATTAGGATAAAAAAGCTGTCCCCTTAAATGTAGCGTCCGGCTTAACTTAATTCTTTTGCAAATCTATTTGCTGTGAAAGTCACGTCTCTTCTGGAAATTTAGCAGCTGTATCCTCATCGTTTTTTTTTTACAACACATTTGTAATAACAATTAGCTGTACCAGTAGAATTATTGTACCAGAGTTGAAGATTCGAGGGTCGTCAATCTGCTATGTTCATGGCTGCTGGTGTTCTTTCCTGCATTTTATCTGTTTGGTACATTGTTTTCGCAAGACGGGAAAAATGTGTTAAGATTCTGCAAAACATCTTTCTGCTTCACTGCCTTAGTTTCTTGAGTTTCAAGGTTTTTTCTTCTTGTCACTATCTGTGGATTTAAAGATATATAACATCCATATAACATTGGATAGGAAGGTGGCCTTCTGCACATAAATTAGACATTACTTCCAATAATGATTGCATTTACATATAAATGCACAAAAATAATTTCTTTTTTGATTGAATGTAACTCTTATTTACTAATTTTTCACTTTTCTCTACTACACTATTCTCATTTTTTATTGTTATTGTTAGTATCATCCAATAGTATTGAATTTTGCAATGATATTGGTGTTAGATTTTGCATGCTTGCTAGAGAGACTCCATAAACAAGACAAGTGCAAACATTGTGGGTAACAATTTGATTACAAGCTCCACACTTTTTATTCTTTGGATTGTCCCATTTTATCAATTTGAATTCAAAATGATCTCTATATATTGAACTTCCAAAGGTTAATTCAAAGAGCAAGTTTATGCTCGATTAAGGATTTTGTCAACAATGTCAAAATCTAGTGCTAGAATTGCCTACTTTAGATTAACTTGCTAGAAAAGAATCAAATTCTTATGTTTTTATATAATTCTATTAAAAAGCTTTCATAAGCTTGAATTCATCATTTGTAGTTGTCTTTGTTCTATGAAATTTGAAACATCAAAAATAGGTTTATATAGCCACCAATATTAGAGAAAGTCCATCACCACAGGCTTTTGTTTCTGCTTATAACTTTGCTTGATAGCATGTACACAAGGTATGCCAAGTATTTTTTGACAATATATTAATACAATAATCTATTAGTCAAGAAATGGGGATTTATGGTATTATTATCATAGAATCAATTAGAAGGTATTTTAGAGCATTTTAGTAGTTAAAATCTTACAATCTAATTGGAAATGCATAACAAAAAAAAGTTCTAATTATACCTCATTGAATACAAAATGAAACACTCTTAGCAACACTTGATCAAAAATAGATTTATTTTTTGCTAAGATAAGATGTATGATTTAAGTCTCAAAACTTTCTTAGTAGTAGCATGTTATTATTGAAAGTTTACAAGTTCTAGTTTTTCTTATATAACAAGAAGAACCTATGTCAATACCTTAATCCACGCTTTCACAATAGCATGCTCTCCTTCAAATCAAGATATTGTGATGTGGCCCAAATAAAATTGTTCTTCATTTAAGCTCCCATAATTTTTTTTCTTGTAAAATAGCCATGATTTTTAAATTTATTTCCACACAAATAGTACCATTAATGTTATAAATTTGGTTCAAATAGCTATATAATTTTTCTTTCTCTTATTGTAGTATAATGCTAGCTATATCTTCATGAACTCATCAAATTCATCATTTGATGTATTGATAGATTTTAAATTTGTAAGGATGTTCTTTTTACATATGTCAAATACATAGCAACACTTTTGCATTTGGAAGCACTCTAAAATGACAATTATCAAAGCTAGTTCTTGATTTGTAAGAAAAATCAAGTTGTCTTAAAGAAGGTAGTTTCAAAATAATTTTTTCACTTGCTCCAAAGTCCATCTATAGTGAAATTCTTCTTCACCACCTATGAATCAATAAAATAGTGAAAATGACATTGGCAAAAGAAAATCCATTTCATATAGGAACAATATTTGATACTTATTCAAAAAAACAACAATCAAAAGTAAATAATAATTTCTTATACACAATTGATATGTCACCATCTTTTAGAATTAAGAAAATTAAAGGTTTGTTTTGTAAGTGTAATTGAGAAGATTGATAGAATTTGATGAATTTCTTTTGGCAATCTTATGAACAATTTTTGGTATAAAAAGAATTGCATGACCTTGTCATTTTTATTAATTTTGATGTCATACTTATCTCTTTCTTGATAAGTATATCTACCAAAACTTTGATTGGTTGTCAACTTGTAATAGTTTCTACCTTCAATTTGTATCTTTAGTCATAGATGTCTTTATATACCATTGGACAATTGGTAAGGTAGAGGGTTTTTGCAATGACCTTAGAAGCAATATCAACTTTCAATAATATAGTTTATTATGTGCTTCTAGTTGGCATTTATCTTCTTGGCAACAACTTAGGCTACTTATTTTCAATTGGATTGGTAACAAAATTGAAAATAAGTAGCCTGCGTTGAAAATAAGTAGCCCATGATTGACATCCCAATGATGATCTATTTTAAAAAAAAATTAAAGAATTATTTAAAAGAAGAGTCTATTCTTATACTATTTGTATTCTTCAATTATTACTATCTTATTGCAAGCTTCTTACTCTATATGCAAACAAAGTCTATTATTTTTAGTTCTTCATATAGATATATATGTATATATATATATATATATATATATATATATTTTTTTTTCAAATTGTTACTTTTGAACCATGTATCATTTTTCTTTTGGAAAGTGTTCCATTGTCTTTTGAGCTTCTTCAATGGTCTTAGAAGATACAAGAAGTAAATCTTCTAACAATATCTTATCAAAAGATTATAGGATCTATATCTAATACCCTTCAAATATATTAATAGTAAAAAACATAAATTTGTTCTTAATGTTTCTAATTCTATTAAACAAAGACAATTCGAAACAACAAATATAGATTAATAAACAAGAGTTTTTTAGCAAAATTGTTGAAAGATACAAGAGCTTACTATCTCACTAACAAATTAATATAAAGTGTGTGCAAAATCTTTGATCTAGTACAAATTCACAATTATAGACAATCTCTTAGAAGTTGAGACCCTTTTAGATTTAAATTGGTAGGTGGGAACAATAACCTAAAGTTCAAGAACTATAGAGATTGCAATCAATAAATTATATTTGTGTACAAAATCTAAAGCTAACATATGATATTGGTGTACAAAATCTAAGGGATAATATTGTCAATAGCAATTGGGAATGAGAGCTGTATAGATCAAGGTGATGAATATAGCAAATAAAAGTTGTATTTGATAGAAAAAGAAACTCTTTCTTTGCATTTTTATATAAAGGTTGTCATTACTAGGAGTAATGTCCTACTACTACATTTCGATTATTCTTATTAATATTATTATATTTTGAATATTCTATGAATGAATCCTTATGGATTTGTTTATGCTTTAAGTTATTTATTTATTTTCTTTTTCTATAAATATGTGAATACTGAGATGTGTATGATGGCATGGAATCTTCCTGAAGTTCCAGAACCATTAGGTAGTGAACATTGAATGCATCCAGGAAAAGCAGAAAATAGAGTTTATAATGCTACGGTTTTTATTCCATTTATTTGGGGTTTTGTTCACCTATCACCATTGTATTATGAAAAGTATAAAACGAACTGGTTTAGGAACATGGTCAAGAATGATAAATATGAAATTATTATTATAATTATCATGTTTTGTATTGAAACACCCATGACAAGAGCCATCGATATTGGTAGCTATAAATGTAGCAACAGTTATCAACTGAACGTGACCCACCAAAACATATTCGAACACCTTCAGTCAAGCCTTCCTTGTGTTGCAGGGTATGTTGAGACACGATACCGACAAATATTTAAACAAATATATATAGATTGAAAGAAGCTCATGAATGATGCAACATTTATGAACTGGATACGTCAAGAGAGTCAAATGCTCAGAACCCCTTAAAAGAGAGCACTCAATGCCTGAGAGCAACTTGACAGCAACAAGTGTTGGCAATATGGTCACCGGAGAAGCCACGCAGTGGCTCACAGAGATGACTTGAAAGCTGGGTTTCCTGGGAGGCTAATGAACCGTATCTAGCTGCGAATTCAAGCTCAGTCACTGCTGCTTAGTGAGACGTAATGCTGCGGTCATCACACAGACGTGATGAACTGGTGTAGCGTTAGGTGTGATCCAGTTCAACTGATAGATCGTGGGCATGAGACGTGCGAGGCTCGTCGAGCACAATGCCCCTCTTGCAGTCCCCGAACTTACTATCCTCTAACGCAAATGCTTGTGACTTGCGGTGTATATGACAACACAATGTCATAGAACAAGCTGAGAAATGAGCCTCTCTCTCTCTCTCTCTCTCTATCTCTCTCTGTTGCTCTCTTTGGGTTAGCTGCAGAAGCGAGCTGAAGGTGCGTATAAATTCTGGTGATGAGAGAGAATCGAAGCCTTGATGCAAAAGTTGGGCCCATGCCACAGGATGCCTAGCTGATATACATGCACAAGCCAGGACTGAAATTGTTGTCTTATTGCGATTCAGTGGATGCGCAATCTGTGAGGATCTCTTCACATGTTTGATCATATTTTAGTGGACGTCCGGTTAGATCTGTGTGGATCGAGGGTCGCGGTGCAGCCGACGGCGAGAGTGACCGGGATTGCACGATGGTCAAGCCAGATTTTACACAATGTCGGCTCCGGAAATTTTTGGGTAGATTCAGTCTTAACTCGAAAACGACCGGCTTTTCGCTTAAGAGAGCGACTGCTACCTTATTCCTCGTGATTCTCCCACTGGTATTGCTTGTGACTTTATTACATGAACTTTCGGGGCTCCGCACAGGCATCTGGCTTTCCACCTCACGGTCTCAGGCTCAAGGTCCACGCGAGTCTTCAGAAACAGCAAGAAAATTCCTCAGTCGAGCGCATGGTCAAAATCCGAAGAGGTTATCAGATGAAACTTATCCACTGCAGCGCCCTCTGAATCCGAAAACTGTTATGTCAACTGTATTTTTACGGGAGAGTAACATTAATGCTAGCAAGTTCGACCTTAGACGGGGAGAGATTCGTGCCTACCGACCACATGGAGTGGCGGCGCATTTCTTTTTGCAACTTGGGACGTACCGGAGCAGCCCAAGAGCGTTCTCCACCGCCGGGAGCATTCAACGAAGTTTTGAAGACTGGTTTAAACCTCGGTTTCAGTGCGAGTGGATCGGCAGTAATGGGACAGCGGTAAGGGCTAAAGAGGCAAAAAAGATTAGACCAGCACAATCCTTTAAAGGTTTCTACGATTCCCTCATCATCATCTGCCATTTCGATGAAGACGTGGGAACAGATGGGCTTGGAGGCAAGCTCTACATGAAGTACTGGCACCAAGTCGACAAGTACCGAACTCCCGAGACCTTTCTGGCTCTCGTCGAAGCTCCTTCCGAATACAACGCTAGCATGTTTGAGCCTCCGTTTGCATACGACATTGTCTATTGCGGCTCTCCCATTTACGGAGACATTAGTCCGCAACGAGTTCGCGAGTGGGTGGCTTACCACACCTACGTCTTTGGCAATCGCTCCCACTTTATCTTGTACGATGCAGGTGGATTCCACGATGACGTGCAGAAGGTGTTGGAGCCATGGGTGAAGCTGGGCCGCGTCACTGTGCAGAATATTCAGCAGATCGAAATGTATCCCGCTTACTACCACCACCAACACACGGTCGTCAACGACTGCCTGATGAAGTCCCAGTTCCTGGCCAACTGGACCTTCTTCTTCGACATGGACGAGTATTTGTTCGTGGAACCTCCTCACTCCATCACCAAGTTACTCGAGGAAAAAACCCAGCAGGATGTCTCCGTGATCAGATACACTGGAAAGCGGATGTCAACTTCGATGTGCAGCCTGCCCAAAGCAAATGTCGATAACGCCACTCGCGATGCGATCAATTCCAAGTCGGTTTAGTTTCTGATCACTTTGTTTCTCCTTTTCTGTTTTCGCACACACTTAGACTGGTCATAGAGTCCTTGGAACTTGGATTTAAATGGAGCACGAAGTCCTGATTGTTTTTCGCGGTTCTTTGAACTGGCCTTAGATTGTGGGGCTTCGAGAAATTTCTCCTCCACTGGCACTGGGAGCATGGCCCAAGGGACCCCAAGTATGCCGTCCAGGCAAGACACATGTGGGCGGTGGAGATTCATAACGCTGTCTTGGCTAGGCGTGGCCAGAATCGGCTCCTGCAATACAGAGACCACATCTGGTTCCATCACTTCCATGGATTCATAATCAACCGCGCCGAGGGGTGCCGCGACTTCGTTGAAGCGTCGGAGAACAAGGCAATCGCTGTCGGCAAGAGCCAATACTCCGGCGACTACACCATTGCTCGCCTTGCCAAGGACATCAAACAGTTTGAACAAGCCATGGTGGGAAAGCTACCATTCATCTTGTAATCTAGAATCCATTTCTACCACACATCCTTACTGTCTTTATTTCTGGAAATTGGCTGAGCTTGTCACTGCCTGACCTCCGATCAGAAGAAGCTCAGGGGACCCTTCCTCGGTGGCCCGGCAAAGTTCAGATTGAGGAACTAACAGTGTTTATTTCTGTATGGACGAGGTGTTCATATGAGATGGGAATACCAAAGCAGTCGTGATGATCAAGGTGTTGGCGAAATAAGCGCCTAGGGTTTCCCCCATACTAGGGCTGATACTTGGCGGATACCTAGCTGATACAAGGATGAACTTAATACCTACAGTGATCAACACAGTAAGTGAGATATGTTCGAGGATGGACTCAGCATATTTACAAGAATAGAATGCATGTGAACTTTCTCAAACGTATTGTGTTCAGAATGTATAAATGTTTTCTCAACTTGGATAAAAACAACTCTCTCTTATTACGCAAGTGAATTTCTACATGGTATCAAAGCAAGGCTTAGAGAGTTCATGAGCAACACACCTTTTCTTTGCAAATATAAGTGAGCAAAACTTATCCACAACTCATTTGTTGAAGAGACATTTAAAGAGTTCCACTAATATATCAAATTCTAGTGATCCCTTGCAAGTTGGCAAGGCCAAGAAGTTGGTTGGCCTTGCCTACAAGGATGTTTTGTATTTTAGTATAATCAAGGGTTTTGTTGCAAGCATGTAAAGTTGAGAGTTCTTATTTAATTTTGAGAGGTAAAAAAGAATCTAATATTTCATTTCATCTACAAAGTAATAAATAGATAGTTGAGGCAATGCCAAAGATTCAGGAAGGGATCAACTTTCTTGCCTTGGCTTGTTTAAATTGCAAAAGATTTTGACTCCATATAATATCCGATACAAGATCTTACTTTATTCATACTACAACATTAAAAGACAAAGTTGGATTTATGTATCACTACCTCTATAAGATTTTATACCTTTATATCATCTAATTCAACTTGATTATAGTTGTTGTAATAGACAGGATAACTTTTTAATACACTATCATCAAATAGATTTGAAAATTTGACAAAATAATGATATGGAAGAATTAGTGCTAGTGGACTAATTTGAATAGCAATCAACAAAGTTTCATCTACTTGAGCTTGCTATACTATAGACTCCAACTTCCATGTTTATTAAAAAGATGCACCAAAATTCTTAATCTTATAGATCAAAACTTTATAGAATTGAATTAATTGGATTTATATATCTATGTTGTAAGAATAATTATTTAAATCAAAAATAATTATAATCTTCATCATATTATCATGTTTTCCTTCTAGTTGAAACATACAAGTGTGATATTTTTCTAATAATGATTTCTTTTGATTGTCTTGTAATATTTTATGATATAGAGGCTTGATAATGTTAAGCAAGGAAGTTAGTTTATAATTTAGTGGATCTAAAATCTTTATTTGTATAATTATTGATAAATATAGAATAATATTGTGATCTATTATGTTTTGCCAATATTATTCAAGTATAAATTTAAACAATCATCTTTGGATATATTGTTGTGATCAAAGATATTTATTATAAAAAAAAAAAGATATTGAGTAGGAAAAAGAAGGAAGATTAGAATTTTTTAACTATTTTTTTAATATCCATTAGTTTAAGTTTATTCTTGAACTTTTTTTCTTATAGGTTTTGCAAAGATATCTACCAATTGTACAAGAAAAGGAATATATTCAAGTTCAATGTTGCCACTTCCTATTTTTTTACAAGTAAAATGGTAATAGATGGCTATATGGCGATTGCGAGGATTTACTCTTAGATTAATTGCCATAGGAATTGAAATGAGACTGGATTATTTCTAAGCTCTAAGACCCTTCTAAACTATAGTAATATAAATCTAGCCACAACATAGGATAGTATAGACCAAAATAAAACTAAAAAGATAGGACATGAAAGGCAAAATAGAGCAAAAGAGAATAAAACAAAATTAAACAGAAAAGTACAAAATCAAACTTTACTAGGAAAAAAGGACCAAAGCCATAGATGATCAGATATCCAAATAGCTATGGCCAATCCTATTTATACTTTGTCCAACCATCCTCGAACTTTCTAAAATGTTTCTAATGGTGGACCTTATTTAGATAATTACCTTAAGTTCTTTTTAGAATGTTCCATGATAGATCTTATATAAACCACCAACTTAGTCCTAATTTTAGAAACTTCTAAAAACTTTTAGAATTTTTTTAAACATGGCTCCAACTACCTATCTTTATGTGTTGACAATGTAAATATCTTATCTATACTTCATTACAATTAATCTCTGTCTACTAATGCAAAATGTCTTTGTTTTGCTCCCAATGGTATTTCTAAAGTGTTTCTTAACAATAGATGAGGTTTTGTGCAGGTTCCCACATTGCATCATAGATAGGATAATCTTATTAGAGGACTTTATTCTAAAGTTGAAGATATCCATTGTGATGACAAAAAAAGCAATGGTCCAAAATTCTATCTACTTCATAAACTTGTTAGTTATCAATTACAACTAGAGGTAGTAGTAGTGGTTGATATTGATCCAAAAAGTGCCTTGCCTCAATATGAAATTCTTTGAATTGTAAAACATAAAAGACCAAATGAATTCAAATATATGGTGGAAGTTCAAGGCAATATGCAACATCAAAAATCACTACAAAAATACAAAAAGATCCAAGTCACTAAAGTGCCAACTTACGAAATTGGATTGATATAACAAGTAGAAAGTTGGCACTGAAAAGTAACACCCAATAACCATCTTGGAAGATCTTATGTTGTCGGTGGTTATCCACATACTACTTCTATCAATTCTATGTAATAAAAAGGCAATGTTGTACCTCCTATAGGGCTATTGTAAGTCATTATATAAATTCTTCCATTTTTGGATTGTTGGTATCAATGGGAGGATGGAAAGTTGCTAGCATAATAAGATGTTGACGAATATTAAGAAAGAATAGTGAATGAGTGGTATTTGCTTGAATACTACCATCAAAGTAAGTAAACTCCAAAGGCATCAAATATTTATCTTAGTCATTATGATGAATCGCCATAAATGTCTATAATATATCTTCTAAGGTATAATTTTCAAGTTCTATTTTTCCAATTATTTGAAGATGGAAGGTTATGGATATAATAAGCTATGGATATGGCAAGCCGTGTGCCCAATAGCTTAAACAAAGCTTGCTAAAAATTTCTCATGAAGCATGGATTTTAATCTAAAATGATAACATGATGTAATCTATGGTGACAAAAAATAATATCAAAGAAGATCCTTGGAAGTATTAAAGCATCAATATTTAAGTGCATTGCAACTAAGTGAAGTTGCTTTAAGAGTTGATCCATAAAGATAGCAACTATTGTATGATTGTGAGGCATCTAGGACAAATACATAATCATATCCATAATTACTTGCTTCTAACGTATAAGTGTTGGAATTGGCTACAATAGTCTAGAAGATATTGTATTGTATGCTCTATTTCATTGGCATGACTCGCAAGAGCTCACAAAAGCTCAAACATCATAATCTAAACTTGTCCAAAATTATATGCTTGAGATCCATTATAGAGTCTTCTCACGCCTTAGATGTCCAGATATTAGAATATATATCCTTCTTGAAAAATACATGTCCAAAGTATAGCATTGTCATATATATATATATATATATATATATATATATATATTCTTCTTAAAATAGAGCAAGCCATCACTAAGATAGTAATCTTGATATTGTACATTGTTTACTTTCAACCAATCAATAATCAACTTAAAATAAGCATCTTCATCCATAGCTTTTTTTTATTTTACTCCTCTAATTAGATTTGAAACAACACTACAAATGGTAGCAATTTTTGCCTTGTCTTCTCATTTAAGCTTTAAGTTTGATTTGTGCAATAAGATATTTGGCACAATATATTATCATTCTTGCTTCTATTCAAGCTGAATATTGAAGAGTTGCAATTGATCTTTTCAAAGATGATGTTATGATTTCAAATTTTTCAAATATAAATTATGTAGTAGGGACCAATGGTGAGTCCAAATAGTCATTAGCTTCTCTAACAGATAGCATTGCCACATCTTTGTGGCATATACAATTACTAATTGCTCTCAATCACAAACAAAATAATTGCACTTTGCTCTTTTGGATTTGCATGATTCATATGCTACACATTAAAGGCTCCTACCAAAGTCTTATTAAAAGAGTATACAACTAATAAATTTAGACACATTAATATCAAGTATATAGAGAAGGTTGGAATCATACAATTGTGATATTAGAGTAGTAATGAGTGTCTCTTTCAACTTATTAAAGGTCCTTTTGTGCTCTATTTTCTATTTAAATAGAATATTCTTCTTTAATAGGCTTATCAATGAGGCAACAATGTATGTAAGTTGTCAAACAAAATGGCAATAATATCTAGCAAGGCCTAAGGATAAGTAAACTTTAGAAGCATCTTTGGAAGTTGGCCAATCTTCCACCACTTTCACTTTATTCTACTCCATGTGCATGTCTTTGGAGGACATGACATGCTTCAAAAAGATAACCTCCAACTTTCAAAGTTTATACTTTGATTGCTTATAATAAAAGTGACTATCTTATAGCCGACATAGTATTTTTTATAGATGTTATTCATGCTCTTTAACGATTTTACTATAGATTAAGATATCATTGATTAAAACAACTACATACTTGTCCAAAAGATTTCAAAATAATTTGTTAATATAACCTATGAAGGAGGTTGAAACATTGGTGAGGCCAAACGATAAAATAAGCCATTCAGAATATCCATAGTGCATATAAAAGATTGTATTTTTTCTATCCTCTCTTAAAATAGGTATCTATCAATAGCCACTCCAAAGGTCCAATTTGCTAAAGATGGTTGCACCTCAAAGTTGGTCAAGAAGATTATCCACACATAGAAGTGGATATGCATTCTTAATAGTTTGCTTATTGAAGCCTCAATAGTCAATTCAAAGCTAAAGTCCACTATTTTTTTTAGGTGTAAAGAGTACAAGTGCTTTCTATAGTGACATGCTTTTTCAAATGAGGCCCTTTTCTAGGAGTTCATCTTATATCTTTTACAAATTTTCAAGTTCATTTGATATTAGGCAATAAATTTGCCAACTTACTGGTTTGGCTCCCAACAATAGTTCTATTTGGAAGGAGGCACCTCAATCAAGTAGCATACTACTAGGTAGGTCGGTTGAAAAGACATTTTGATATTCATGTATGAATTGCTTTATTCATTCTATTCTTTTGGTTGTCTTTTCTACCATTGAAGCAAGCTTTGGAACTATCTTATATATTGATTATTTATGCTATATTTGCTTCTTCATAAAGATTATTTCTACATGTAAGCCTTTATTTGTAGAATATTTTTCTACTTCACTCAATGCAAAGGTATGAAGATTCATCTTGCATCTACCATCTTTGAAGGAGATTGTCCTTGCTTG